TCTGTTTTCTGAAATAAATGTGAAAAAGCTCATAAAGATAGTGGCCTTCTCCACTATGTAGCGCCTGACATAGCTCCAGAGCAGCTCCGCCCTGAGAAGTAAATGTAGAATAGACCCCATGGAAAGAATAGTATGCAATTATATTATTTTCAATTATTTGAAAATGCGTATGCAAGTGAGAGGAAGGATAAAATTACACACATTATGTAGTATTGATTTTGCGACCTAATCCTCATTTAAAGCAGATTTTATATGTGCAATTAGCTAGCTTTTAAAAAAGCAAACAGTTTAAAAAAAAAAAAAAAGAGAGAGAGAGAAAAGAAAACCCCTTCCATCATGTGGCATCATATTGCTGTAAATGTCATTAGGGCTGGAGCTTTTAGATCTATGGCAGAGAGCCCTGCCACTCTGAACTAACAGGGAAGCTGATAAGAGCAGTGGCTTGTCATCCATGTGTGGACAGGGGCAATATTAGACAAATTACTTTGTCAGGAGATTCACAGGTATTTGCTGACAGAGGAGGACTGGTGGCTGTGGGTAGGCGGGAAACCCAGACGTGCATATTTATTAGAAGCTCTGAAGTACATCATTCTGCCTGTTTGCTTCTAGCATGGCCCATTCAACTTCCTACTGCCCCATCTTCCCCTACCCTAGTCTTCTTCAAGACTGCCCTATCTGGATCCTAGTCTTTCTCCATCCATTCTTCCCCTTTCCCCCCTTTTATATCCTCCCTTTAAACCCTACTCCCAGTTTGAGAGCATCACACCCCAATCTGTTCCACATTCCTTCCTCCTTGCTCCTGTCATCTCTGCTCTGGGCTTTTTGCCCCAGACTTTATCCTTTTTCTTCTTCGATTTTTCCTTCATTTCTTTCTCAGCTCTGTTTCCTTTCAACCCTCCCTCCAGGGAAAACCCTTCCCATGTTCCCGCAGCTCCAGCTATTACTATCATCTCCTTCTCTTCAGCCTGGCTTGCTCATCTTCTCCCTCGGATCAGATGACTTCTGGCATTTCAAAGCTCTGATCCAGCTCCACCCATCACTTCTTTGGAGTAGGTCTAGACCACAATCACTGCCACACTGCAGAGCCACACAGGTATTCCCACGATGGCCTTATACAAGCTAGTTCACCTCCTGTTACTGCAGGTATACAGTGCTCAGCTACAAACCCTGCCAGGAAGGTGAGCAGATATTAGGGAGAAGAGGCATGTGTATCTGTATCTGTATTTGTATCCGGATCTGTATTTCTGTTTGGATCTGTATCTATATCTCTGTCTGTGTCTATAGACAAACACTAGTACAAGCAAACAAAAATACACTTGGCAGTGTATCAGTGTACAGCAGATCTCTTTCCACAGGCAATTCCTGTTTTCTACTAATGCCTCTGAAAGTCTGTCCTGATTTGGAGTTCAAGATGGGCAACATCCTACTACTAAACCTGTGATAAATTTTGATTTTGGGTTGGTAGTGTGTGAAGTATCACAGCTAGAAATTAAAGCTTTGATTAAGAGGAGAGTATTGGCTTTTCTGTGGTGCACAGAGTACGTGTTTCACAATGAGGTATACTCCATCATAAGAAAGAAATCACAGAAGCACAATATAGTTATGCTCAGGCTATTAAATATAATCTTCAGGTTTTAAAAACACACAATACATTTTCTTTTCTCTTCTCTTCTCTTCTCTTCTCTTCTCTTCTCTTCTCTTCTCTTCTCTTCTCTTCTCTTCTCTTCTCTTCTCTTCTCTTCTCTTCTCTTCTCTTCTTTCTTTCTCTTCTCTTCTCTTCTCTCTCTTCTCTTCTTCTCTTTCTTCTCTTTCTCTTCCTCTTTCTCTTCTCTTTCTTCTCTTCTCTTCTCTCTCTCTTCTCTTCTTTCTCTCTCTTCTCCTCCCTTCCTTCCCTCCCTTCCCTTCCCTTCTCTTTTCCCTTAATTCCTACCATACTGGACCAGCTTCTTCACCAGAAGTCTATGAGATATCGCATGACATTTCTGAATTCCCCAAAACTTTTCCAAAAGCTTTTTCAGAAGATAGGTTTTGTATTTACATATGCATATAGAATGCACGAGGACGTAGTTTTATCCTGTGCTCTATTAGAAAGAGTGACGTTACTCATCAGTGCTCTCTGTGCTGCTCTCTGGCACAGGGACGGGTATGAAAGACACTAAGGGGTAGAAAGGATGGCTTGCCTTTGTAGCACCCTCAACCTCCAGCATGAAAAAGCCATGACTCAGGCCTCTCAAGTCACATATTTACACTTATTACTTTTTAAAAATAAAATACAATATTGGGGGGTGGGAGCGGTTTATGTTTGCTTTCTGAGTCCTCAGGGCACGGTCACTACATGTTTCTCAGACCTTCCTCTACTAGTGTGTGCTTTGAAACGGTAAATGAGAGTTTCCTACTGTCTTTGGATACTTGTGGTTAGTGCTCTGAGGAACAAACCAACCCGTGAGATTCAAGGCAGCAGTGGACACGCTGCATTAGCAGTGAGAAAGTCAAAAAGTGTGAGGAACTCTCACGAAGATACGGGATGTCGCAAATGCATGCAGTAGCCAGCTCATGAGTGAGTGTGGACAGCTGGACGTGGGCATGGAGCCTGAGACCAGAGGTCTGTATATTTGGTATTCAGTCACAGGTTGATGATCACTGTACCTGTGTCACTAATATGCACATCAAGAGCCCCTCAAGCATGGAGATCTTGTTCAGAGAATATACACGGGAGCACATATCTGGGAGTGTGTTTGTTAGATCTCATGCACAACCATTTCTGTGTGCATGAACAGATGGCAGGCCCAGACATAAATGGGCTCAGGGCTCACTCTTATGTTGGTGAGGTCTTGAGATGTTGTGCTGAAGGACATGTGTGGGTGAGGTTCACAAACGGAGAAGGGGGGCTTGTTGGCCACATGCAGAGGTGTATTGGTGGGGCTTGGATGTGGAATGTAGCTAAAAGTGCATGTGAATGGTGAATATAAATGTACATCCAACTGAGATTAAATACTGACATTTGAGTGGTACTAGAAATTTCAGTCTATAGACTTGGGGATTTTTGTGCATGAGAAAGACTTCAGGAAGGGAAGTTGAATGTGTTTCATTTTTTCTTTTTTTTTTTTTTTCTTTTTTTTTTTTTTTTTTCTGTAAGATGAGTGTTTTAAGCAGGTAGAGCATGGGTAAGAGCAGCAGGACACGGATTTCATTCTATGGGACGAGAACAGTGCGTTCATGTGTAACTACACCATCAACAGCAGGGTGGGAACTGCTGTCCATTTGTGTCCGTGTGGCAGGGGTGTCTGGACACTCTCCCCTCCATTGGGGACCACCATTTGCAGACGATGTGGATCTCCTCTGGAATAACTCAGGCAGCTGTTCAGGACAAGGAAGAAGCTCTCTCCACGCAACACCATATAAAAACCAACCAACCAACCAGCACCAGCAACAAAGAAAACACAAAGCAAAACGACCCAGGGAAGGCTTGTATGTGGTAAGCACCAACAGGCAGTAAATTATACCTGTCAGCTGGCAGATTGGCAACGAGTGCCAAAGCACAGGTGTTTACCTGAGCTGGGGGGTGTAGGCTGGGAGTATGTGTAAAGACTTGTGCACAGGCAATTTATCCCGAACAGCTGACAACTTGTGGTGGTGCACAGAAGTGCCTAATAAAACAAAGCCCCTGTGGGTGCTGCCTCGCAGCACCTGTAGGGAATGACCTAGAACTCGAATTTGGAGAAGATGAGGGATGCCCACAATGTTAGCAGTGCTGGCTGTGCTGCAAGTCGCTGTGGGAAAAGTTTTCAGTTAGCAGTGCTTGCATCTCGGATTTGTTTTACCAGCTACTATATCACTGCTGTGCAAACAGAGCAAAAGAAAGCAATGCCAAGTTGATGGTTATTTATTTATTTATTTATTTATTTTGGGTAGAGACGGGCAGGGATGGGCAGCTGAGGCCTCTCTGACTGGGGTGGGGCTGCAGGCAGGTAGTCTGAGTTGGTGAAAGTACACGTCAATTCAGAGTGAGGTATGAATTCCCCTTCTGTTTTACAAGGAGGTTAAAGATGTACATAAACGATGAGTAAGAGGTTAGGCACTGCTGAAGAAAAGAGCAGGGGGCGTGGGATTTCCAGCATATTTTGGAGAGAATGTGGGCTTGGTGTACAAGGGGACACGGGTATACAGCAAGAAGCTGGGGTGCCGGGATATTATTTCATTAAAGTTGTTTAGTCTGGAGATCTGCCTTCTTCCCTGCATCCTCATCAGGTGGAGCCATGGCTGGTGAGGAGAGGAGCGATGTGCCACCTTGTGAACATAGGCAGGGCCAGGCCAAGAGGGCTTCAAAACCCAGGGCAGAAACTCAGCACGAGATCTCTCTTTAAAGCTAGTTCTGTGTTGTGTTTTTGGGATGCTCTTAAGCGTGTGCGTGGGATTAGGTGGTACCCTCAAGGCACGTTTCTATGCTGTGGAGAACAGAAATCTTTCTGAAACCAGCCTGACCATGCCGTGAGGCTCTTCCAATGTGCCTCTTCTGGGGCCGTGGGTGTTTGTGGACTGGCAGCACACGGTCAGGGCTGGAAGCTGGAGTGTGGTGACCCTCCATTGGGGTCGCCTCGCCACTGTACCTCAGCCTAGGTGTCCCTCAGGCACCTACACACAACCACGTGCTGCACTGAGACAAAAAAATAAAAAAGAAAACATTCACTGGGAGTGACCCCAACTCTGTGGGCACGAGGACGCCTCCACTCAAGGGCAGGCAGCTTCCCGTGAGGGAGCAGGGCGGCCACGCCGCCGCCCTCAGAAGCTTCTGGAAGGGCACCTGGGGCACCCACCCGCGGGCCCCCCTCGCCGTGCCCCCCACCCGTGAGCGTGGGGCCGTGGCCGCAGCCTCCCCGCCGTGGGCTGCGAGGCCCCGCCGGGTGCCGAGGGGGGGAGCGAGGGGCGGTCGCAGTGGAAATTTCCACTCCCTGCAGCACCAGCAAGCAGGAAGGCGGGCGCAAGCCCGGAGCCACCGCAGGAGGGGGGTGGTGGTGGAAGGAGGCGCGGCTCGGGGGGCTTCGCCATCGTCCCCCCTCGTCCCTCCGCCCCGCTGGGGGCCGCAGGAGGAGGAGGAGGAGGAGGAGGAGGGAGGCAGCGGACCCCGGGCGGGCGTGTGCGGGGCAGCGGCGGAGGCGGCGCCAGCGGCGGGCAGGGGGGCGGAGCGGCGGAGGCTGCGCAGCTGCCGGCGCCCTTTAAGCCGCGCCGCCCGCCCGCCCGCCCCGGTGTCTGTGCCGCCGCCGAGCCGCGCGGGCAGGAGCCGCCGTTGGGGACGCGCCTTCCTCTTCCTCCTCCTCCTCCTCATCTTCCTCCCTTCTCCGCGCACCGCCGCCCCTCTTCCTCCCCGCTCCCCCTCCGCATCCCCGCTCCTCCTCTTCATCCTCTTCCTCCTCCTCCTCCTCGCGCCGCCGCCGAGCCCTGCGATGCCCCGCTATGAACTGGCTTTGATCCTGAAAGCCATGCAACGGGTGAGTGGCGGGGGGGCGGCGGGAGGGACGGCGCCTCGCGGACCCCCCCTCAGCGCCCTGCCCCGGCCCCTGCCCCCCCTGGGGGCACCCCCTTGGCCCTTCATTTTCCTCCCCCCCCCCCCCCCAGTATTTTGGAGCCGAGCTGCGCAGCCTGCTTCAGCCCCCCGCGTGCGTCTCTCTGCCCTCTCTCCCCCTTTTTTATCTTTCATTTTTTCTCATATTTTTCCCCCCAAAAAGACTTAGTAGCCGTGCACCTAGCAGCACAGCCCCCGCAGGTCTCAAGCCCGAGCACCAGGGTCTTAACCCCCTATACCCCCCCCATACCCCTCCCCAGCCCCATTGACCCTATGACCACCCCTCAGTCCCCCCCTTGGGGTGCTGTGGGGTGCTATAGGGTGCTGTAGGGTGCCTATCTGGTGGCCTCCCCAGCCTCCTGGCCTCGCCTCAGCAGAGGCAACACTGCGGGCATCCCCTTGCTGCGGGCAGGAGGCTGCCAGCCCCGCGCCCCTCCGGCCCTCGGAAGCCTCAAGGCATCATTTTTTAAAATATATACGTATATATAGTGTAGTTAGTTCATTTAACGCGCTTATTTTCCGTTGGTAACACCAGTTGAGCCCCGCTGATAGGGCCGGCCGTATCGCCCCTCCGAAGGGCTGCCGGTGGCGGCACGGCGATAAGCCTGGGGTGACGCGGTGCTGGGCCAGGGGTGTGCGAGTGGACCTGAGCGTAAATATTAATAACACAGAAGCATCTCCATCTAGGTAGGACCCTCTCTCTTTTTTTTTTTTTTTTTGGGAAAACAGTAGCTGGTGCTGGTCCTTCGCCAGTCCTTCCGCAGCCTTTTGTTTATCTGCCACCTTCCCGCTTCGTGTGCGGTGCTGGGGTGGGAATGTAGCAGCCCTTCTGCTAGCCTGCAGCCCTTCTGATCTCGCCTGGTGTGGACACGCTCGCTCCTGCCTTTAACCTTTGTTTACAGGATCACCTCTCTCCGCAGTAGCATATCAGGAAGCTAAATAGCGTTGCTCTGTTTCTTCCGTAGTTACGGGAGCACGTCTTCATGCTTTACATGTGCTACATATACTAGTACATTTCCATTCATTTTACATGTAGCATCCACATGTCAGGGTTGGCTTTTTTTTTTTTTTCAACTTGGCTTAACTGCAGAAGCTGTAGTAGACTTCTCAGGTGAGTCCCCTAGTGGAGAAATACGGCAACTGGAGCAAATCTGCTGGCATCGCTGCACCACCTCATGGAGCAGCATTCAGCCTGACAAAACATGCTTCTCTTGCTGGGCTTGTGTCACAGGGTGACTTCCATCCCCGTCCCCCCAGTCCACGTGTAAGCCGTAGGTAAGGTGATGAGATGCTTTCTGTATATATGCTGCTCGTGTGGGAGATGCACTGCTCTGTGCAGAGCCTCTAAATGCAGAACAGGGCAGAAGGCATAGCAAATCTGACATACTGAGACACCAATACACTGACTGCTCTGAAAGAATGCCGTAGAGTGCTGTGCTGGTGAAAAGCATCTTTGACTCCAAGTGTTTGAGCACTGAGATGCAGGGATAAGCTTTTAGTTGCAAAATGCTTCTAAGGAGCCATTGATGCACTCAGGATTTAACATCTGCAACCTTTTTCTCTTTGACTCTCTAGTACGCTCTTTCCTAGTAGTAGATGTATCTTAAAGTGTCCTTTGTGGTGGTGGTAACGCACCGAGTTTTGGTTCAGGAATACTGCTGTTTCTAACCTGCCTTTGTCATAGTTCTAAAGTCAAGGGAGTTAATCTCTAGATGCTCTTTTTTTTTTTTTTTTTTTTTTATCTTACTACTGTTGCCATTTCTGAGCAGTGAAAACACTTGAAGAAAATTTCTGTACTGGTTCTATGCTACGCAGTGTTGCTGCATCCTGACAAATGATCCTAATGATCCTGTAACAACGCACAACCTGAAGCATAATGCTAACTTTAATTAGTCAAAATACAGAGACCTGAATTCAGTGTGAAATTACACAGCGACTACGTACTTCTTTCCTGTGGAAGCTGGAGTTTTCATATGCAGTCCTGAATAAATTACGTGGCTTCTTAACGCTAGTGCTCTCTGATACAGTGACCCCAGGCAGATGCTCACCACGCCGGTCCCTCTGTGCTGTGGCTGCAAGCTCTAATACCTCCTTCAGTCTGAGGCTGGAGCAAGTGCTGGCTCTTCTCTTGGTGTCTGCGGTATTCTTCCTCATCTGACAGCTCCCCTGCCCTGCAAAAAAAAATAAGCCCCTGCAGCCTGTCTTTCTTACGCTTTTAGCACTGTTGTTAACTCCTGCGGGCTCCCTAGCAGCTTGAGCGCAAACCTTCGCAGAGCTGCAGTCTGGTAGGCTTTCACAGCTCTTTCTTTGGAGGCAAACATCGTGATTCTATGGGATTTCCCCCACCCACAATTGTTTTTAATAGTTGCCTTGGCATTTTCGTAGATCTAGGCAGAGTAAACTCTCCCCCCAGATCATTTTTGTTGCTTTAAACCCCCTTGCTCTCTAGTACTACCTGTGTCTGAGGTGGGTTCAAGTCATTCTTCTCTTGCACGTGCCTTCTGCTGGGACTGGCAGAGTCTGTTGAGCAGCAGCAAGGCTCTTCCGTATCCAGCTAGCCTCAGTGTGGTTGCAGGGCCCTCTGCTAGGACATTGTGACCCTGCAGTCCCACCTGATGCTCCTGTGTCCACTTCTTGGCAGATTTCCTCAGTCTCTTCAGCTTTCCTTTTGTTGCCTTAAAAAATGCAGTACCCAGCGTGGGGGGCAAGGGGAAAAACTTAAACTTCTCAAACTTTATCACTGGTTGCCTGCATGTACTTATCTCAAAAGATATGGTGACTTTATCAACCATTCTCTGCCCTGTTGTGTAGGTAGTGTATGATCAGGTATTTGACTTGTAGTAAAAATCTTATTTGCAGATTGTTCGTGCACAGAGTTCTCAGTCAGCAAGGACCCTGGTTTGACTCCCAAGAAAAACCTAAATAATAAAAATCCCTAAAAGTGCCCCCCAAAACAAATACCTTAAACAGAGCAAAACCCCACAGCATTTCTTTGTGGCTTCACTGTCTTAGAGAAGCAGCTGCAGGGGGAGGCTTGGATTGTATTGCTGTGTGTTTGAGTACGAGGAGGAGATGCTGTTGGAAAAAGAAGGATGTGAGGCCAGTGAAGTGAAATAAGTGTAACTTATGGTGGAAATAATGAATTTTGCCTATGTCTGTGGCTCTTTACACTCAAAATGCCAGTGACAAATAGCATGAGGAGCTTGGAGAGGTTGATGGCAGGCTTGTTGCTGGTTATCAGCAGCACACAGCCGTGTGTAAAGACACACTGCCAACCTTCCAGAGCCGAAGTCAAAGACTGCAGTTGTGGGGAGGGTAGAGATACGAAGTGAGGACATAGCTGTTCATGCTCCAAACTTCACTCTCCGTAGCCAGAGATGATTTTCTAATTATTTCCAACTTTCTCCCAGGAGAGCAGCTTTCGGTGGGGAGGTTCTGGCAGGACGGGACCGCCAGCAGGAAGGGGCAGTGACCTGCTAGCAAATTTGCAGGAGCTCTCCCTTTGGGGAATGGGTTGTTTTCCAGGCAGGCTTCCTCTTGCTGCCCTCCTGATCCTGCCGAAACTCCCGTGGGAGCCTGGGGAAGGAAGGAAGGAAGGGAAAGGGAAGGAAGAGCTGGAAATGGCTTCCTCGTGCTCTGCTGTTGAGCAGCCTGATAGCCAGGCGGCAATGCGAGGCGCCCTGCTTCAATCCCTGGCCACCAGGGACCCCCACACTGCTCTCACTGCTGCGTGGCTCATGGAGTTTGGGTGCCTGTCCTCAGCCAGACAGCACTGCAACTGCAGCTGAAGTGTCTAGGCAGCTCGAAGACTCCCCTTATAGAAGAGTATCTCACTGAGAGCGAGAAAGCGTGTTGAGACTTTACAAGCAGCGTGGTCTTCACCTGCAGCACAGGAGGAATCCACAGTATGTACCGTAGTCTGAGCACCTTGTTTCAACAAAGCCCTGGGCTGGGGGACCCTCTGTGTCCCGCTGCAACACGATGGTAAATCTGGGCTCTCAGTCTGGCTAGCAGGTTCACACGGCGTGGCTGGTATTCAGCACCTCTTTGTTGCCTTCTGAGCAGGTTGCCTCATTTCAGAAATGCCCTAGCTGCCTTGGAGATCGTTCAGCTATTTTGAGAAAGCCAAAGTAATGGGCAGTAGTGTTGCTTGACATCTTGACTATTACACTTAATTGCTGCGTAGGCAGCAGCAGCAATTGGGCTTTTGATTTCTGCTAGGAGGAGGGTGGGGGAAGCGCAGAGGGCAGTAAGCAGGCAGGTACTGTTTTTATTTTCTTGCCTCTTTGGTGAGCCTACCTGTTCTTGCAGCTGAATTACAAGTGCAGTTTTTCCTGCACACTCTTCCTCCCCTTCCTGCACTTGGTTGGGAAGGTCTTGTGTACTGGGGGAGGTGCTGGAAAGAAGGCCAAATAGCTGGAACCAAAAGAGGATTGGAAAGCCACAGGGTCTGCAGTTGACTGTCCTGTAGTAGTCAGCCTTTTGTTTCCTGCCCTTAGCATTTCTGTCAGAATTGCTGGAGTTGACCTGTTGGGGGAATGATACCCTCTTGGCTGACGTTTGCCGTTTTTCTATCTGAAGACCCAAGAATAGCCTGTCTTTTAAGTTTCTGCCAAGTGTGGGATATGTGCCTGGCTTGGATATGGGGGAGGTAGAGGATTATTCTCTTCCACGACGTAGTTTAAACCTTTTTATAGCAGATAGTTGTTAGCGAGATGAATTTGGCAAAGTTGTCCAAAGCAAGTACTAAGCTGATGGCAGGAATGAGATAGCCAAAAGCCTCTTGGTTTAAACAGCCTTCTTCAGCTGATGAACGTGTGTACTGGGATGCCCAGGTTTAATTCTGCACCTCTTGTTCCCGAAGCTTTCAAGCCACGAGCCTGTGTGTTGAGGCAGGACGGTGGGCAGGACCTTGTGCCCGTGCTGGGACAGACAGACTTCGGTGGGATTTGGCTAGCTGCTCTTCTGCAGGCAGAAACGGCGGCTTAAACTTTCAGATAAGAGCTCCCCTCTTTGCCCCTGCTACCTGTCCAAGCTGTGCTATTCTCTTTTGGCTCTGCACCTCTTCATTTGCTCACTGTGTGTGTAAATGGATATACGTACACACAGCGTGTGTGATCAGGGAGAGGCTTGTAAAATGAATGAAGGAGAACCTGTTGTGGTGATAAAATCATGCCATTGCTCTTTGTTGTTGTAAAAACCCTCTAGTGACTCTTAAAGATGTCTATTACGTCAGTTAGACTTACCTGCTAAATTAGCTCAAGTCTGAATGTATTTATACACTTGCTTTCTTCTCTATAGTTTGTAACAATGAAAGTTCTTGCTGTCTTACCAATTCTTTCAGGATCTCATTTCTCAAAGTCCCTTGTTCCAGAGCTGTAATGCTGGTGGTTTCCACCAGAAACTTGCTTTGGGGGTTGTTGTCTATCGATCAAGTCACTTGTCTTGTTTTTGTCAGACTCCAACCAGAGCAGGCTGTCAATTTTTTGAGCCACAGCTGCTCAGAGCTCCTCTGTGACAAATCTCTCGTAGTGTAAATGTTGATTATGTGCAAACAGTTGTCTGATAGTGCTGCTTGTATCAGCCTCTGTGCTGTTTAACTGAGAGCATAAAGAACCACCAGGTTATTCCCTTCCAAGCTGCCTACCTGCTGGACCAGCAGGGCTGGCTCTGGTGTGCATCCTGCAGAAGAGGCAAGAATGAGGTGAAAGGGGGGGGGGGATTCAAGGAGGGGGAGGACAGACGGGTGAAATACACCTAGTCGTGTAGAAGTGGGACAGAAAAAAAAAAAGAGAAATTTAAATTCAGAAAGCAGAGCAAGGTTTTTTGCAAGCTAAGGACCTGTGCTGTGGGAACACCAGCTCAAATACTGGCACTGGAAATGAGAGACTACAGAAATGTAAGCTCCTGGTGCAGAGAGGGAACAGAAACAAGCACGGGGCAGCAGATGGCGTAGAGTGTCATCAACCCTGGAAATGTGAATGGGAGGAACTACACATGAACTGCTGTTCTGCTATTTCTTGCCTTTTTTTAATCATTTTGTCCTGCTTTGTCCTGTTTTTGTACTTCAGTTACACAAACATTTAAGGAATAATAAGTAAAAGCAGAGGTACATGCAGAGCATGGATGGAGGGGGGGAATGTGTTCAATAAAGCTCTTGCATTGACACTCTTTTAAAAGAAATTGGGTAGCTTTCACTGTAGATAATTACAAAGAATAGTACTAGTTGTTCTTTAATCAAGATAATTTCACTTATGCCTCGTTTTGGTGTCTTGAAATGCCTTGGAAGGATCAGGAATCTGGCAAGACCATCAGCAGACTAAGAAGCTTGGTGGAAGGCCTCAAACTTGAATTCTAGGATTATATATGCCCAAAAAAACTTCGGTCTCACCTATCAATTAAACTTGTGATGTTTCATGTTGTTGGAAAGATGGTGGGCAGCCATAAATGTGATAGGAATATGGCAAAGTCCTGAATAAGCTTAATGAGGGTGTGTTTTGTGTGTTTCTCTTTAGTCTGGGAAATTCTGGGAAGAATTGCTTCCTCTTCTGCCCAGTTGCATGGTGACTCTCACTTCAGTGTTCGTTTCTCTTTCTTCAAGTAGGTTCTGAAGTCCCTACGCTCCTAGTCAAAATCCTTTTCAGATGGGGTGAACCAACACATTTTTCTATCTGAATTATGTCAATTATTTTAGTTACTGGTGAGTGCTGGTAGTAACCTCCAACTAGATTGCATCTTTGTGCCTTTCAGCTAAAGACAATGATCATCTTGAGCGGTGGTAGAGAGATGCATTTGCTTTCTGATGGTGTGCTTCTTACAGGATGGTAACATCTGTCCTACTCCCCTGATTATGTGGTCCCAAGTCCTCTCTGAAAGTTAAATACTTGCATCCATTCTCTTGTTTTGGTCTTAATCACTAACTACTTTGTTATACTGATTTATCCACAGATAAGTAGTGCCCGCTAGTGGAAATGTTGGCGCCTCTGAACATCGAATAGGCCACCACAAGAAGGAATTTGAGTTTTCAGGCTCAGTGTTCCTCCACAGCTGCCAACATAGTATATCAGCTGACATCTTTACAAACTTACCTGGCATGGCAAATTCTGCCTGATGCCAGGACCTTCTCTTTTTTGCCATCTCCTGGAGGAGGCACCCCTCCCCACCCCAGTAAGAATGGCTTGCTTTCTCTCTTTCCCCTGTTGTGCTCTTTACCTAGTTACTGTTGACCACGTGCATTCTCTGTACCCTCCTTCCTCTTTTGCTTCCAGTTCCTGTGTAGGAGGAAGAAGGTCATGTGTCTATCTGGAATTGCAAAGGAAAGCATGGTTTCCTTGCTGAGGGAAGGAGCTGCCTGCTCATAGTGACAGCCCAGCTGTGGGCATCTGAGCCTCGTGTCCATCTGCTGGAGTTCTGGTGAAGGCATGAACGATTCTGCTAATGTGCCAGAGAAGCATGGTCCAGTCCCTCAGTGGTGCTGAGCAGCTGTACTTTCTACTCTCCTCAGGAACTGATAATATCTGTTACCTGTGTAAACATCAGCCAGCTCTTTGATCCGATAAGCAGAAGAGGAAGTCCCTACCTATGTGTTTTCATTGAACTAGTAGTCAGTTTAACCTAAGCTGGTGGACTAGTCTTCCTTTAGACAAGAGTTAGCAGATTACGGCATGCCTAGATAGGCATGGAGCAGATGGTCTTTCTCTCTGGTAGCCCTCTGTTTTAATAAAAAGGAAATTTCTGCTTCCCTTCTTCTGTCCTTGCCTTCCTCCCCTTAACTGTGTGGAGTTCTGAGAACGGTACAAACAAATAATCTGTTACTCCTGGCACAGTGCTGGGGATTTATGAGGAAAAAAGCCATTCGAATGTGAAAGCCACAGGCAGTGGCATGAAGTGGCTTGCTGAGGCACTGCTAGTGATGTAGGTTCCAGAAAATAAACCATCTTCCTCTTGCTTTGTCATTCTTTAGTACCCTTGTAGCTTCTGCTGTGCTTGGAAGTGCTGCGTAAGCACTACAGTAAAGCTGCATCCTCTTCTGCTCATTTTTTTTTCCCCTTAATTTGTGACTTGGTGGGGGAACGAAAGAGTTATATGCTTTGAGGACAGGAGGTTGGGAGATAAATATTATATACATGCATATATGTAATATATATTTATTTATATTATATTTTTAAATAATAATAAAAAAACCCTTGATTTACTGTGCTAATGCTGTCAGTCATACTGGCCTTCAGCTTCATCTGACCTCACGATACTCTAGTTATCTCTTCTGTAAGAGACCACAGTAGCATTTCCTTCCTCACGGGCAAGTGTAGCACACCTCTGTGAAGATGCATTTCTCTGTTTCTTCTGCTGAACTGCGTGCTGTGAGTTACTTATTTCTCTCGTGTTTCCTTCAGCAGTCCTTTAGAAAAGAATGTATTATGGAGCAAGCTGCTTCTTCTGATGCTGCTGTAGAATGATGAAGAACGGCATTGGAGTGATTCCTGAGACCCCAGCCATAAAAGCACGTTACATGTTTGTAGTAACTCCTTTGAGTGGCCGACTTGACTTGAACTTTGCACCTTAAATCAGGCTTTTATGGTGGCAGCAATTTACACAGGTGCTACAGAGGCACCTGTGTTCTGCAAGGTGGCAGAAGTGTTAACGTAGGATCTGCAGCCCCAAACTGGAACTATGTGGCAGACAGGCTGAGCCAGGCAGCTGCTTTGGTTAACTGTAAGGCTGTACTCCTCCACTCCAGCATGTTGAGCTGCTGGAAATGATGTTGCAGGCTTTAACTGGTTTATTAGATGCTACAGGTCCACTGCTGCCTCTGAGGTTTGCCTTCTTCCTGTGATGTACCTATGTCTGTCTCGGGTGCGATCTTGCCTGTCCCATCTGACCCAGTCATTTTTGAGGGCAAGTCCTGAAACTCAGTTTCTGGACATTTAGGGTTGTGTTGAGCAGCCCCTGCTTTCTCAAGGGCATACATTAAGAAGGCTACATTAAGAATAAGCTGATACATATCAATTTTTGATGAGGAACATTTTGTTCTCCTTTTTTTTTTTGTATTCTAGAGTGCTGTATTGAAATGTAATACATGGAATAGAGGTTTTCTTTTTTTTTCTTTTTCCTGAGAGATAAGCTGCCTCAGACAACTTTGTGTTTACTATGGAGCATTGAACAGGTAGGAACTTACTTGCGTTTCTGTAGCAGGTAGCCTGCAGTTTGAAAAGGACAGACAACACGCTCGAGGGGTTGAATGTTGTACAGGCCTGCTCAAGGTGTGAAATCGCGGAGAGATCAGGTGTTGAGCCTGGCAGTCTGGGTACGTTCTGCTTATGCAGGTGAGTTGTGCAATGGGTGAAATGCTGCTAGAATGAGTTACCATACCCCTGGTTGAAAAAGTGAGAATGGAGAAATGCTATTTCTGAAAAAAGACCCTCAAAACTGCTCTGTAGCCTATAAACAAAGTTAAGTATATACTTCATTTGCTAACAAGTGAGAGTGGAGGCTACTCTGTGTGATACATGGCTGTCTGTATCCTCAGGTTAACCCTTACAGCTTTGGTCATTGTGACTATCTCTTTAGCTGCAAGAGGAAAGGGAAATAAACTGGGAAACTTCCCATCTGCAAAGAAGAGAAATAGACTAAGCACAAACCAAATGGTTGCTTCAGGGCTAGAGCAGTTTGATTCTGGCATATTTAAAGGCCCATCTTATTAGAAAAGCACTGTGGAGAAAGTTTTCCTTTAAAGCAATCATATTAATTTCTCCTAAAAATCCCACCCTCAATCTGCTTCACATTATCTAGTATCTCTTGGGGGAATTGAGACTTTTCTTCTCTTATAGCATGGGCTGCCTGTTGGAGAGACATGAGCATTGTTTCACCAGAGTTGTAGCCTTCTATCTTCACACAAGAGGGAAAAACATTGTTTTGCGTCTTTGATATGATCCAGCCAGAAAACAGCTCTAGGGAAAAAATTCACAGTCCTTGGCAGCAATGCTGTCTTTCTGTCTTTTTTTTTTTTCTGTCAGTGCCACAATATATGCTGCTCTAATAACTGGAGATTAAACTCACATGGGGCGTCTCAAAAGTCCTTCTCAAGACTTGAGGTCATAACTTGCTGAAAGTTCAGAGGGACGAGTCTCATTTTCGTAATGAAAAAAAAAGTTCCAGGGTTATTTTAGAATTAGGTCTAATAAGAAACTGGTACAAGAGGCTACTTTAGTGCAGTAATTTAGTGACAGTGCAGCAAATTTGTAGCGGCTACTGAAAACTTTCCACCTTCCTCCTAGAGCAAGCTGAACCCTGCAGATTTCAGATGTTGATTACAAAGGTGATGGTACAAAGCCTCTGTAGACTGCTTGTTTAAAATGCATGATTTGGCTGTACCTTCCAGTAGAAAATACTCAAGAAACTTCACGTATTGTTTATTTTGGTTAGGACTAGCCCATAGTAGTTGGCAAGTATCCTAATTGAGAAATGTCACAACTTATTCAAGGGCAGCTGCATCTTCTACTTACGCATTTTTCAGAGGGATTGAATGTGCCTGTAATAGCCGTACCGTGAGCTGGGTACCTCTTCTGTCTGGTAGATGTAGTTTCATTGAACATTGTCATGATTTATATATGTCACAGTATAGCATAGTTCTGCAAGGTCTTTGATTAACCTACAGGGAAAATGTTGGAAAGTGAACTAAAGTTCAAGTCCAACATTTTTTCAGCAAAATAGCAGGACAGTAGAAGAGGGAGAGTGTAACTACTTACAATTTATTTATCTTGCCCATTATTCTGACTCTCTGTGTAGCAGTTTTTCTTCTTTTCCACCATGTGTCAGTTACCTCTTCTTCCACTTCCCTTAAAATACTTGCATTGTTGGCATAAATGTTAGAATGTGGTTGCACTTGAAAACTTAGGGAAATGTAGCAAAAGAGGCAACACTATTGAAGTGTTACCTGGAAGTGCTTAAGAGCAAGAATAGCGTGCAACACTTGCATCTGATGGCACCACACGATCCGCAGTGTCTAGAATTTTATGTTGGGTTAAATTAAACCGTGGAGTAGACCACTTAACTTCTGCTGCAATTGTGGGTGGGGATAAATACGAATTCTTCTATGGAAGAATTTAAAATACATCTGTGGCTTGAGGCTTATGAGCACGATAAATTTAGCACACTACTGTAATCAGTCCATTTTGTGCCATGTCTCCATAGTCTCTCATTATTGGCTATAGCTCCCGCAGAATGAATATCTGTATTCTCATGTGGGTTTGTGGTGGTGGTGGGGAACCCTTATTATCTCGTTCTGATTCTGAGCTACTGTTGAAAAACAGCCAGCTCATACAAGTAACATGATTGTGAATTTCTCCTTAAGGCTGAAGCTGTGGTTTGCTGTAAGCTTTTTTAAAAATGCATCTGCCTTAATGAGAAGTGCGCATTCCTATGCCATCACCTCTGCTGCCATCAGTAAGGCATGAAGTAAGGCAGAGGGTGTGTGCACACATGTTTTTCAACCTGAACTACAGCTTACTACGGTCTATTTGAGAACGTGTAATGTTTTTATTTACTTTTAAATTTTTAACCAAGTGACTATACTACAGGGGTGCTGAACAGGAAACCACCCATATACTGGTATGTTATCTAGGTGCTTGTATTAATCAGAGATGAATTCAAGGGGAAATGTGAGCTTCAGTGATTCTGCAAATGAGATGGAAGGGGGAGTACCTAAAACTGATGCTTGTAGGACTTAGAAGGCTGATAGACATTACGGTCAGAACAGCAGTTGGTGATCTGTGTACCTACCTTTGTTAACATGTGGGAAAGAGGAATGGGGTCAGACCCTGTTCTGAATAAGCTTGAATACCAAGGCTGTGCCTATTAGGTAATGGGAGCAGAAAAACCTCATGTTCAGCCCTTTGTAAACCCATTAAATGATTTTGGATGGGCATAGGTAAATATTTTCCAACGTAGAAATAGGAGATATGAGCATCCTTTCTCCATGGGAGAGACAGGAATCATAATGCAGCTCTTTAATCCCCTCATCCTTTCCCACTGTCTTGGTTATCTGCCTGCAAACCTTTTTATTATCCCCTTCCCTCCACTTTGAGTGCTGCAATCCTTGTTGTTTAAATGAGTTCCTTTGTTCACTGACATGCTTTGGTGGAATGGGGTATGGCTGGGGGGCTCAGAAATAGAACAACAGGGTATGCTTGCCTTCCAGACTTTCTGCCCCTGAGGTTAATGGGATCCTCTTCATGCTTGGGTGCAAAGGAGTGGTGCTGGGAACAGCACTTCCTGGCATCCTAGCAAATGGAAGCTGCCAAAATCCACCTGGTTCTTCCTCCTGGTGCCTAGAGTGATCCCAGAGGATCCCAAAACCACATGGGTGCAGGTATAAAAAGGCACGTGGAAGACAAATACCCTGAAGTTGGATGTCAGGCATAGTTTTGCTTTTGTCATGTGGCTGAATGGGACTTTCTTCACCCTGTGTGTGTGTGTGTGGTATGCGTGAAGAGCTTTTGGCATAAAATGTAACCCTGTTGTGATAATCTGTACCCCAGACAGGTGCAAACTTGCTTAAATCCTACAGAATAACCTCGATTCTTCGGGGGATCTTAAATGTATGTTGTTTTTTGACAGCGTTATGTCCTCACTTTCCTAGTTCTAGCAGCCAGCTGGTGTCTCCAGTGCATGCATGTTACATCAGGATCTATCAGGATTTGTAGGGTGAAGTGCTAGAGGAATGCAGGAAATGACTAGCCAGAGTAAAGTTCCTTTGTGTTTTCTCTTTTTCCTAAGATTGCCTGCAAGGGGAAGGCCTTTTTAGTTGCTTGAGAAATAGACTTGAGAGACTGTAAAGTAATGAAATAATAAAAATGCATTTGTGTTTCTTGCCTTGTTCTGGGGAATTTGGGTCACTTAATAGTCTGGAATTGCCGCGCCTCTTAAGGTACTTGTTAAAGTTGACTTATAAAAGGAATTACTTCTTAGTTTTACAAGTATTTAATGTATGTGTGTTATGGATTGCATAAATGCAGCAGGAAATATAAGGGGGAAAATCTGTGGTGTTCAGTGATTGTTTTGCTAGACTTCAAATTTTTTCTCATTACTTCATGAAATTCTTCTCTAATTCAATCTTTGTCTTTTGTCTTTGCTGCCTTGCAGGGTTGGTACAGTAGGCCTCACTAAACTTAGCTGCAACTAAGAATTTCTCCTACATCAACTGAGTTAAGGCTGATGCTCTTGTGGAATGTGGATTAAAAGTGCGTGCTAAGTTCCAAATTTCCATTTGAGAAGCGGAGAAAGTAAATGTACCACAACCACCAGCATCAGGACAGCAAACCAAGGGACAAAGAATTTGATCCGCAGTGTTGATAAATGTTAACTGGTTCACGTGTTGCTTAAGAGACGTTTGCTGGGGGGCGAGAAGTGGACGTCAGCTGTGCGAAGTCATTTTGTTTACAAAAATGAGGGCTTCTTTGGAAACAGCAGACATTGCCATTGTGGCTCTGTACTTCGTGCTTGTAATGTGCATAGGTTTTTTTGCCATGTGGAAATACAATCGAAGCACCGTAAGTGGCTACTTCTTGGCAGGGCGTTCTATGACCTGGGTAGCTATCGGTGCATCTTTGTTTGTGAGCAATATTGGAAGTGAACATTTCATTGGGCTCGCAGGATCTGGAGCGGCGAGTGGATTTGCAGTAGGTGCATGGGAATTCAACGCCTTAATGCTTTTGCAGCTTTTAGGATGGGTCTTCGTCCCCGTCTACATCCGGTCGGGAGTGTACACCATGCCTGAATACTTGTCCAAGCGTTTTGGAGGGCATAGAATTCAAATCTATTTTGCAGCGTTGTCTCTCATTCTTTATATCTTCACCAAACTTTCAGTTGACTTGTATTCAGGGGCACTTTTTATTCAAGAATCGCTAGGTTGGAACCTCTATTTGTCAGTAATCCTCCTTATTGGAATGACTGCGCTGTTGACTGTGACTGGAGGTCTTGTGGCTGTCATCTACACAGACACCCTTCAAGCTCTGCTTATGATTATTGGTGCCCTCACACTTATGATCATAAGTATTCTGGAGGTTGGTGGGTTTGAAGAAGTTAAAAGAAGGTACATGTTAGCATCACCAAATATCACGTCTATCTTGTTAACCTACAACCTTTCCACTACCGATTCCTGCAATGTGGACCCAAAGCCTGACGCTCTTAAAATGTTGCGTGAGCCAACAGACGAAGATATTCCCTGGCCTGGATTTCTGTTGGGACAGACCCCAGCTTCTGTCTGGTACTGGTGTGCTGACCAAGTCATAGTTCAGAGAGTTTTAGCTGCAAAAAACATTGCTCATGCCAAAGGATCCACTCTGATGGCAGGCTTCTTAAAGCTGCTGCCGATGTTTATTATAGTTGTCCCAGGGATGATTTCACGAATACTGTTTGCAGATGATATCGCCTGCATTAATCCAGAACACTGCTTTCAAGTCTGCGGGAGCAGAGCTGGATGCTCTAACATTGCCTACCCACGGTTGGTGATGAAACTTGTGCCAGTTGGTCTGCGGGGACTGATGATGGCTGTGATGATTGCTGCACTGATGAGTGACTTGGACTCTATATTCAACAGTGCCAGCACCATATTCACGCTTGATGTCTACAAACTCATTCGGAAGAGCGCGACGTCTAGAGAACTGATGATTGTAGGAAGAGTCTTTGTGGCGTTCATGGTAGTTATAAGCATTGCCTGGGTCCCGATAATCGTAGAAATGCAAGGCGGTCAGATGTACCTTTATATTCAAGAGGTAGCAGACTATCTGACCCCACCGGTGGCTGCTCTGTTTCTTATGGGTATATTTTGGAAGCGTTGCAATGAACAGGGGGCATTCTATGGTGGAATGGCTGGGTTTGTCCTCGGAGCCATACGGTTGGTACTGGCGTTTATCTATCGCGCTCCGGAGTGTAACCAGCCGGATACTAGGCCAAGCTTTATCAAAAACATCCATTACATGTATGTCGCTACAGCCCTGTTCTGGATCACTGGGATTGTGACCTTTATAGTAAGCCTGCTTACACCTCCACCTACAAAGGAACAGGTTCGGACAACCACTTTCTGGGCCGTGAGAAACAGGAATGTGAAAGAGCATACTGCAAAGGGGGAGCTGTACAAAGTGCAAGAAAAGAACATCTTGAGGTGCAATGAAAACGCTAATCATATCATTCCAAACGGCAAATCTGAAGAAAACATTAAAAATATTAAGCCTGAGGATATCAATCTTCTGGTCACTTGCAGAGATGACAGCAACCCAGTGATTTCTGTAAGTCACTCTGAAGTCGAGACACCAGTGGATTGCTATTCGAACGGACAAGCAGCTTTGATGGGTGAGAAAAAGCGTGAGGAAGAAACTGATGATAGAGAGAGACATTTGAAATTCATAGATTGGTTCTGTGGCTTTAAAAGTAAAAACATGAACAAGAGAGCTGTTCGGGAGATTGAGGAAGAGACTGTTTGTTTACAAATGCTGGAAGAGACTCCAAAAGTTAAGCTATTACTAAATACTGGACTGGTCTGTGTCTGTTCGCTTGGAATATTCATGTTTGTCTATTTCTCTTTGTGAGTGAATAGTGAACTTTTAAGGGTATGGCTAAACATACAGAAGTTGATACAGGTCTCTGGAGATTTTTTATTTTTTTTCCAAATAACATAACCGCAACCCAGGCATTGTTTACGCTATAATTGTAAAATCAACTCAACTTTAGCCTATTTAGAGACCATTTGAGACGTGTTGTCCTATCTCTGCTGAAGGCAGAATGTGTTGTGTGGTGTCTTTCCCTTTTCCCCTTTGTCTTTTTTCTTCTCTTTTCTTTTCCCCATTTGCAGTATTAACCTTTTCTTTTTCCACAAATACGTGTATAAATATACCAAAGGCAGGCAGGTGGCTGTGTTTGAAGTCAGGCAGCTCTAGAGTTCAGTCAACATGAAGGTGAAGATAACAACAAGTAATCGTTTACCTACGTGTAAAATCTGAAACGATTAAAGCTGTGTTGAAAGATTTTTAAATGTAAGGCTGTGATACACATTATTGTATAGTTGTTCTTTGTAATGTAACTGTGTTACCTTGGCCAACTTAATACATATGAATTTCGCTCACTGCTTCTAGGTATTTCAGTTTCTCAGTTTTCTTATGGCAACAACAGGATGATATTTTTTCTCATCTTGTAGTATTTAAAATGTGATACCTGTCAATAGCTTTCTGTCATTTTTCCCTGCAAGGAAATGTCTTTTCTTTTTAATTCACTGTTAATTTCATTACTGAAAAATTGGTATATCTGAAAACAAAAACACCCTGGAGATAACAAACCCTCAATGGGGGGAGGAGGAAAGGAATTCTCTTTATTGGACACTTGTAGTATGCTGAAAGATTATATATTCAACCTTGTCTGTCCCCAAACCTTTAGCCTTGTATTGTCATTGACATAATTAGGGTTAGCCTCTTTGTAGAGAGAAGCCTCCACATAGGTTCTACCACATAGGTTCTACCACATGGGAGAAAGAGAAACGGGAAGCTTGCATGTCTTCAGTTTGGTAAACACACCAAAAAATAACCATCTTCCTCTGTGATGTTTGTCTAAAAGGGAATATGCCGCAGTCCTACCACTGCTGGGTCTGTAAAGGGACAAAAAGAAGGGGGAAGGGAGGAGGAGTCTGGGGAAAGGGGTGGAAGTGGTCCTTGTTTTCTAGAGTCCTTTTACCTAATGCCTTACCCTACTTCTCCTTTTGCTCCCAGACCTTTTTTAAGGAATGAGTCCTGAAGCATTCTTTGTCAGGAGATGAGGAGCAACTGCAGTAGTCATCTGTGCTGGCATTTGAGGACTCCTCAAAAAAAAAATAAAAACAAAACACCCCAAAACCTGAACCTTTTCCTGGGCAGTCACAGGTGGTTAGTAGATGTTGAGGCAGTCAGGGTCTCTCCTCCCAGAGGACAATGATGAAGTCCTCCAGTTCTGTGGGGTACATGTGCTGGCGGGTCCATGGGCTCCAGCAGACTGCCCCCTCAGTAAAACAGGAGGACCTGTCCCCAGCCTGGGTGCTTTTACCCTTACTGGAAACCAGCAGTGTTTAGCTTGGTGGCCATCGCTTAGCCAGGCTACGGCCTGGTTACGTGCATAGTCACAGGCTGGATGAAGTCAGGGCTGGGTGTCAGGCCCTAAGACCTGCTGACAGAGTGGCCATATACCTTTGAGCTCCCTTACCCCACAGAACTGCCTCCAAAAATAATTTCTGCAGCTGTCTTTGCTCCTGAGCTTCTCTGGGGAATTGTATGGGAGAGCAGTAACTGGCCAGGCCAAAGACGGCCCAAGGGACCATGCTGACTGTGTAACGGTGTAGATTCAAGGGTCCAGAAACGTCTCCTTGGCACAGTCTAATTTCTTAATGTAAACTCAAGAAGTTCTGTAGAGATGAAATTTGAGTTAATCTTGCCATTGACTGCTAGAGAAAGTTTGCTTTCCATTAGAGTGGTCCCAGAAGCTGCAGGCTGTTGAAAGAGCTTATAGTAGCATGATGTATATAATGCATATTTTCAGATAAACTGATCGATGTCTAGTTGTGTGGGGGATTTTTTTTTGTTTTGAAATCAGTTGAATCCTATTAGTTCTGAGCCTTTAATCGGAGGATGAGATGCCTAACTTTTGTCCACTTTTAGTTGTTGCCACTGGAAAGTAGAATAACTGGAAATACAGTAATAAGTGTCAGAGCTGTCTTGTAATATATGGAGGAGAGTTACCATACCTGAGTCTTAACGTTAATACCAGTGTGACAAGACACGTTTTCTTAGTTTGTGTGGCTGCCTTCATTCAGGAAAAAAAATAAAATCTTTTTTAATAGGACTAGGTGAAGCCCTAGTATGTGAGGTATGTTAATGGAATCTTAATTCATAAGCGGAGGGAACTGGGAAGGATGATATTATATGTAAAGTAAGATACAAAACATAATTAATTGCTTCTGTTCAGGATAAAGTAGCCTAGGATGAAACTTTATTGATCACAGTGGAGTGAAAGATAAATTTGGAGGGTAAGGATAAGCCTCAGATCAGTAATATCTCCTTGAAAAGCCTAGGATCTAGAATGTCAGGTTTGGCACAGGGAAAGAGACTCAGGTGCCAGGCACTGTCCCTTAACAACTCGGCGTATTTTTCCATCAGTGGCTGGTACTTGGGTTTTCCAGACCAGTCCTCTTGGCTCTAGTACTAACAAATACATTGCCACCTAACCTGTGAAGTGAAGCCAGGTTAGCTCAGGGACCCTGTTGCTTCATCCTTGCTTATTTTTCCAGGGTGCCTTACGTGGTTATGAAGTTGAAGGCATGGCTTTTATTGCCACCTGAATAGTGGTTTGCTTCTCATGTCTTTTCCCTGTTTTTTTCCTCATTTCTTCCCCCAGGCCATGTGCTCTTTAAACAGAGCTCTGTTTAAATAGTTAATGCATAAGATGCATGTATCCTGGGCAGTGTAACTACAATCAGATCCATGATGAAATTGATTCTTTGACCATCATATGGAGTCACAATCCTCCCCAAATGTGCAGTGCAACATTTGACTGTTGAATCTGAGACACTCTGCATTCCAGTTAATATATTCCATCTTTTGCTAAACTAACAAGTTGCTGAATTAATCACAGTGATAATTGGCAGGCAGTCAGAATCTTTAAGAAGTATTACTTTGCATCCCCCCACCTTTCAGACTGTTATTGTGAAGAAGCTTTTAAGCAAATTGTTTCTCCAGTGTTTTTTTCTCTTAGTTGAAAACGTTTCTATGCTACTCTCTGCCTAACGTCGGCCTCTTCAATTGTGTTCTGCTTGTATGTCTTAGAGGTCGTAAAACTTGCTAATATTCTTCGCTGCATGTAACCACCTAATGAAAACCCTTTATCCAAAAAAAAATAATAAATAATAATAATAAAAAAAAAGGCTTCAAGCAAACTGTTGGTGAGCAAGTACCTCACCTTGAGTTACGGACTACAGTGTAAGAAGCTGCTTGAGGGTTTTTTATAGCGTAAACATGCCTTTGCTAATTTTCTGGTCATGACCTACCTAGAACCCCGGTTAATATGTTTTGGTTCAAGCACCAACTTTCCAGTCTGGTAAAACCACAGAGTGTCTCCCACAATGGACAATCGGTTCCATAAATTTTAATGACTGGCCTCCTCCGAGGTGGGACTGGCTAGCTGTGCAGGGGTAGAGCCAGGAGGACACTTGGCTTCTGTCTCTGCAGCGAGGGGTTTATTTATTGCCTTGAACTTAGAATGACAGTCTTGAAAAAGTTGTTTTGGAATGACACCTTTTTTGTTGTTATTCCCCTTAACTTATTTTTCTGTTAAGATATTTTAATCTTCTCCCAGAAATTTGTTAAAGCCTTTTATTTAAATTAAAAAAAAAAAAAGTCAAAAAAAGAAGGCTTCTTGAGCACTTAATAGTATGTTCTGGGAGACTATTCTTATTTAATTTTTTTTAAATGAATGATTTGAAGCTATTCTCTGCCAAAGGTTTTTTTTAACTGTTTTGTTTTTGTTTTTCCTGTTAGCTTTTGCTAATACCTGAAAGGAAATGGTGAGAGTTTTGTAAGAAATTAAAATGGCCTTCAGTATACCCTTTTGTATTTTTTTACTTCTCCAAATCTGTGTTTCCCTTTTCACCCTTATCCCAGAAGGGCCAGCATGAGACTTCTGATGCAAGTCATGAAAGTACTGTAACTGAGTAGTGGAAAGGATTTCCCACAAGGTTACAGTGAAGTGGGCAGAGCCGTCAAAGGATCTCTGCATGAACACTTAAAGCAGAAGATGCTTACAACTTTAAAACATACAGCTTTATTTTTTTTATATATATATTTTTTTAAATCCTGAGATAAAGGAGGCGTTGGGAGATGCTCCCTTTCAGAGAACAGGATACGTGGAAGAAGTTGGAGTTGATAAGCTCCAACTCTTTTGAGGAAATCTTTGGATTTAGCATGTATAGCAAAGCAAAAATACTCATCTGTTAATTTGGTATTCTGTATGTTCTGTGCCCTTAAATGTAATTGTTTTTGAAAATAAAACTAACCTTGTTACGTGATGTTAAAAAGCAAACTTGTGTGCAATGTTTTAAATTTTTTTTAAGAAAATGTTTGTATATAATTAAATGGTTTAATGTGCTTTAATTGGCCTAAGGTAAAGAGTAGTCCTAGAATGTAAACATATATAATTAGATTTCTGATTTCACTGTGAGATCTCTGAACTCTCTTGTTTTGCAAAGTGGTTTGTTTTGTTTACAAAACACTTTCTATGATTTCTTTTATGGTGTTGGTTCAAAGGCATTTGCTTCACTTCTGTTCTAATATTGAATTCATGGTATAGTGACATCTGGTGACACTTAGCATTATCAGTTTCACTGTGTAAAGTCAGACACTTTGAGCAAAAATGGTAATGATATGACAATTCTCTGTGTCTATGAATACACGTTTTTAAATGAGGTGGTTATAAAAATAGTTGCTGTGCAAAATGTTAGTAGTCTTCTTCAAGAAGAAAGCAAATTTTCTAATATCACTAGAGCAGTCTCTTCATTCATCTTATTTTTGAAGCACAGTGTCAAAGTGATGCTGCTTTACCTTGTATCTCTGATATGTTTTTTTTAAATATCTGTGAAGTATTTTTTGTTGCTGTTGTATTTTTCTGCAGATTTTATATAAAATACCAGTTAATGAACTGCCTTTTTTTTAAACTATTCTACTAAGATACATTTCAGACCAAAACCAAATGATATCATATAGCATTTGAAACCTGCCTTTTTTCCTTGTCCCTTGTTTTTTTTTTCTTTTTTTTTTTTTTTTGGTTCTATTTTGTTTTGAAATAAGCCAAATGGGCATGTAGATAAGATCGCTATAATGGATCCAGGTCTCTCTTTTGGTAAAGTGTTATTTAAAGGTCTATTAAGATCTTATAAGACAATATACTGAAAAAATTATTGTAGTAGGAATATAGTTTTAGAAGTGTTAATGAGATTAATACAGCTTAATTATACTTGTAAGTTGCTACTGTCCATAATGACAAGCTTTTTGTCATAGAAACGATGTATGATAAATTAATTTTGGTCTAGTGTATAGAATTATCATATTGCTATAAATCTTTGAAGTAAATCTGATGCAAATTTTCATAGTTAGCATTGCTGGCCCTGTGTATACTGTTCTTTGTATACTGTATGCATATTATTTTGCCTACTGCATTAGTCTTCAAACTAAAACTCTTGTTAGAGAGTATTTGGATACTTCAGACTGTGTTTCTTGCAGTTTACATTCCTTTACCATGGCATTTTGTCCTGTCTAAAAGTATTGTATGGAAATGTTTAAAACTTCTGTACAAAGTTTCAATAAAAATAGAGGAAAAAACAGAATAGATATTTGTGAAGCTATTTTGCAGAACCTGTATGTAATTGTGTCTCATGGATTCTTGCCTGTGATAAGCCTCACATCTATGTGAGAATACCTCCCCCGTTGCAGAAGGGCAAACCTCTTGAAGCAGGGTACGGGCATTTGGTTGGAGGAGTAAAACAAATAGAGAACAACCACAACAAAAATGAAGTCCTTTAAAACTTCAGCAAGAACTTACGGATCCAAAATACGGTCTCGGAACTTGGCTGCAAAATTTAAGGCCAACTCATTCTGTGGGTGAGATGTGTGGGTGCTGTGATCTGCTCTTTCTGCAACCAGGTCAGGATACTAGCAGGGGAAGGCTAGCCACCTGATGCACCTTGCAGAGTAGCAGCTTACATGCAAACAGATTATGGGTGAGCCCTAAACTCAGTCTTCCTGGACACTGTAAAACCACATTTTTTTTTCTCCTATAGGCCAGCTGTTGCTGCATTAAGCAGTTCTGGAATGGGACAGGCACCTTTATTCTTGGTACTGGAGTGTACTTAAATACCTGCAGTTGTGCTGCCACTGTCCCTCTGGGCCAACACCAGCCTTGGTGGCTTTCTTCTGTTTTACTTCTGACACTGATCTTGAATCAATCCTGGTGCCTGAGCCCTCCATCAGGCTGTGCTGGTGGTCATGCTCTGAGAATGATGAGTGTGATGCTGTTTACTGCCTCAGAGGAAGCAGTTACAGCTTGCAAGAGTCAGTGCTTACATCTTGGGGCTAGGAGGGATACCTGCTCATGATTTGTACTTGAAAAAGATTTAAAAATTGGCTCAGTTCTGGAAGAGGAGACCAAACGGGGGTCTTCCACTTCTCTCCCAGTCCTTCATAATGATGTATTTGAGCTAATAGCCGTGGAAAGTGTGGTGTGAATCATGATTTCATTGCCCAGGGAAGAAAGTTCAGCAAGAAGGGGGCAGGCCTGGTGATTAAACACCTGTTGAGTGGTGTCCAAGATCTTCCAGAGCTGGGAAAAATTAAGGACACCAAACACAGATTTTCATCTGTGCAATAAGTGATGCATCCATCAAAATTATTCTTGATATTCTCTTTTACTGCTGTGTTTTAAAAGAAAAGTGGAAGCTTGGTTGTTGTTTGTTAAAGGAATGAGAGGAAGGCTTGGGCTCAGAATGAAAAATAAGCAGAGCTTCTTGCCTGCAGACTTAGTGTGGATTTGTGATTTCTGTGAGGGAGTGGAAGCCTTGTGTTTTTATTAGTTAGCTGTTAATTAATTGGTTATCTAATTAGCTTATTAGGTGATTATTCAGTGAGCAGCTTTCTATTTCATTGATTTTAAAGGAGGTTCAAGAAGCCTTTGTCACCAGCTGGTTCTATTTGCGTTAATTAGCAATCACTCTCTCAACCCCCAATTTGTGGACGCTTGAGACCTTAATATTTCTTTGGGTGTGGAGTCCTGGCCCAGGCAAGTTGTGGGCACGTTTTGCAAATGCTGCAGCAGCATTTATTTTGAGGGTGCACTGGAAAAACTGAAGGAGATGGTGGTAATGAGTACTCTTTGCCTATTGGCGCTAAAGTGAATTCTCCCTCCTTGGATGTGGTTGCCCTAGTTTGTGCTGTGTGTGTGTTGTGCCAGGAAAGTCAGCGAGGCAGAAAGTTTGAATTCTGTGCTTTTTTCCCCCTGCCTGCCTACTAAGTGCGTTTAATCAGGGTGTAATTTGCAATTTGTTTTTTTTTTTGATTTTTTTTTTTTGAGGAGTATGTAGACTGATAGGGATAAGGTGATGCTTTGATTTCATGGCTGTCATGCTTATAACCCCTGAGCTAGTCAATTATTTTTAATACTTACCTAAACCATGAAACTGTTTTTGTAAATCAGCTTTGAACATCTCTGTACATGTATGTGTGTATTTAAATATACGTGTTGTGCATAGGAGAGTTTCACCAAGAAATTACCAAGTTTCAGTTTCACTTCTGCACACCAACTGGTCGAAACAGTGTGATTTCCACCCTACGTGCTATTCTGGGTCAGAGTCAAGGACAGTTAATTTTCTGCAAAAGCAGGAGGATTTTAAACCTATGGCCGTGGTTCCACGCATTTGTAAAGTTTATTACTTATTCAGTGTTTTTCTTAGTCCTGACATTTGTTATATTAGCACTAAGTGTGACATTGATGGGGTATAACAGCTAAATATTAGGAATCAGATCTGTTCTAGTCTTTAAGTCTAGTCTTTAATATTTCTTTCATTTAAGGGCTTAGACTAGTCTGGTGCTAACGGTACACCCTCACTCTAGAGTGTTTGGGGCTTCATGGGAATATATCCCAAGACTTGATGGCTACAATGGGTGCTTTGGATGGTTGCATGTAATTCTTCAAGGACTGGGCTCTTGCTGGAGCTCTGAGGCTGGAAGCCTTTGACCAGGAAATGTTAAAATTAACAGTCTGTGGCCTTTGCAGCTGTGACTCTCTACTAAACTGGTGTTTGCCTTCTGTAAGGTGTGCAGTGCCAGCCTCCTTCACTGCTGCGCACGTTTCCCCCAATTACAGAAGTGTGAAAGCTGACTTGAAAAATACCTCGCGTGCTGGAAGTGTCCGGTGTAGTTACACTGAAAGAATCCCTGCGGGTTTTGAGCTGCCTGTGCGTGTGCTGTGTCAGACAGCGAGCTGGTCCCCGTGGGGAAAAGTACCAGGCTCAGTGTCACCTATTTGGGACTGGACAGGGAGGCAGCCAGCGTTGTAAATGCTTGTGATGTTGTGTGCTGTTTGCAACACAGCGAAACCCTTCTTGCTCATGATCCCTCTGACTTTGTCCCTGAAGTGTCCAGGACAGCAAAGTCACAGCAGCCATGTGACAGTGGTTTGATTCACCTCCCTCCCCTGACTTGCACAGAAGCTAAGGATTTGAGGTGATGGGCAGCTGAAGGAATTGCTCAGCTGTGCGTGTTCAGGCAGCCTTTTCCTTTCAAACACTGATGGTAAGGGGGACGAATGGTTTTGGCTTACCTTGGAATAGCAGCCATCACTTTTGGACCCC